TATTTATTTGCAAAGAACATGCCTGGACATGAGCAAAGTTACATCACCATATTCCTGCTATGTACCCTTCAGGCACAACTACACTGCACTGGATGTGCTCAATGGTTATGTAGCAACAAGCTAATCTTTAGGGACTCGCAGCTGGATACCTGAGATCAAACACCACTCTGTCCCCTTTCAATGGCTACTTAGGATCTTAATTCCAATGCTTTCATTTCATCTCCCCTTTTAATTTCTTCTCCCTTTTGTATCTATCTTGTCTATTAGGCATGGAGCTTGTATTTTTAAAGATCTGTACAATGCTTTCAAATTGTAGGGCAGGAATTCAATGGGTAATGTGTGACCTGCAGACCATGGGTAGTCCCCTGCCCTGCTACAATGCTCCCCAAAATGACAATGGCGAATTAAAGAAGCAGCCTTCTGACAAACTGCCAAATATGATACTTTCAATGAGAAAAGGCTCTTAATGAGACATGCCACATTATCACAGGATGTCTACTCCTTACACCACTGGAAAAATTATACTGCTTAGTCAGTATTTCACCACCTGACATCCACCAGGAAATAGCAGCTAATAATGAAAAGACCAAGGCAGTGACATCTCCGGCCCATCCTCTGTTATGATATCAACCAGCACGCCAATGCCTTCAATCAAGAAATAGCTTTCTAAGAACTAGAGATACTCACAGGAACACCCCAGCAAGCGAGAGTCCAAAAGTGGCAGGCCAAAACCCGGAACCTCAATCAGTGGCTGAGACTGGATAAGAATTTCCCTCCTGGGCACACAGAAGATTGGGCACTTGGAAGGTGCTGAACAGACTGCACTCTGGGACTGCGAGATGCATAACAAACCTTAAGAAATGGGGCTACAAAATGGAATCCATGGCATGCGAGCATGAAGAAGAACAAATTAAAAACCACTTACTACAATGCAACTTGAGTCCTGCCACATGCACAATGGAGGACCTTATTACAGCAACACCAGAGGTACTCCAAGTGGCCAGCTACTGGTCAAAGGAAGTTTCTAACTTTGTGGGTTTTTTGTCTTACAATATAACTGCATTCTCAATTCACTTCTAACACGATAAATAAATAAATGAGAAAAGGAATGCGTGGCAATTCATTGATCTATATATTTTTGCATCAGAATAACTCTGCAATGAGAGCAACTCAATGATTGTGCCCAGCCTGTGAAAAAGACAGGCAGAATTCCTCTTATGCCGACAGCAAAAATGGGGAACTACAGTCAGACCCACTGCCAGTTTACTCATTGTTCAGGAATAACAGAACCTGTAGTCTAACAATACACAGCCAGGCCACCAATTTTATACAGGGTGGACCAAAAGTCGTAAAGGTATCTGATGTTTTAATAACTTTTTGAAAATTGTAATGTAATTTTGTAATTTTATTTCCTATATTTACTGTATATGTGGTCATGGTATGGTAAGTTTAAAACAAAATATAAAAGAGCTATGCAATATTGAAACTCTTCACCCTGGATACAAGGAGCCCCCGGTGGCACAGAGGGTTAAACCCTTGTGCTGGCAGGACTGAAGACCAACAGGTCGCAGGTTCAAATCCGGGGAGAACGCGGAGGAGCTCCCTCTATCAGCGCCAGCTCCTCATGCGGGGAGATGAAAGAATCCTCCCACAGGGATGATAAAACATCAAAAATATCCAGGCACCCCCTGGGCAACATCCTTGCAGATGGCCGATTCTTTCACACCAGAAACGACTTGCAGTTTCTCAAGTCTCTCCTGACATGACCAAAAAACAAACAAAACCTGGATACAAAGCACACTAACTGGACTTCATCCAGACGGGCTCAAGGTCAAGACTAGGAAATAAGCACAGCCACACATGCCATACATTTTATTCATTTGTGGTATATATTTGTTCCATCTCAACTCACATAAAAGCAAGTAAGAAACAATGTCATATTTGCTTTAAAAACCAAAGACTTTAGAAAACAGCCAGAGGCAGCACCCATAATTTTGAAGGGCCAAAGGCCAAAGCAAAATAGTATTGTCCCCCCCCCCCCGCCCTCTGGAAACAGAAGGAATGAAGCCAGCCTGACATCCCTCAGGAAGGAATTACACAGATGCAGAAAAGGTGCCAGAGGCAGGAAAAAAAACTTCCAAGATCTTGTCTGTACAAGTAATATAGTAGTACTACTGGTAACTGCCAGCCCTTGGGGGAAACTGCTTTTTGTAGCTGCAGCTTCCAGATTCTGGGAGCTGTAGGTTTTAGTGGTAACTATTGCAAAGCATCCCCAAACTATTTAGTGGTAACTATTCCAAAGCATCCCCAAAGGGCCAGCTAGGTGAAAAAGGATCCACATATGCTCTTACTATTGTTGGTATGTGACTTAAAGTTGACCCCAAATTATGGCAACCCTAAAACTGGGTTTTCTTGGCTAGGTTTGTTTAAAGTGGGTAAGCCTTGGCCCTCCAGGTGTTTTGGACTTCAACTCCAATAGGCTGTTAGGGATTGTGGGTGTTGAAGTCCAAAACACCCAGAGAGCCAAAATTTTCCCATGCCTGGTTTAAAGGGCATTGCCCTCCTCTGAGGCTCAGAGGGAGTGACTTGCCCTGGCTATCTAGGAGGTCTCCATGGCTGAGTCCGGTTTGAGCTCTGGTCTCTCAGAATGCTAGCTTTCAAAACCAGTACACCACAGTAGCACCTCCCTCCCTCCCTGAAAAAAAGCACCCATAAACAGCATAAAGCCAGGGCAAAGGCTTTCGTTTGGTGGGATCCTAATACCACCAAACACATGCTGTTGTTTCCATCCTCCTTTATGGATTAGTTGTGGTAAGGGTTAAAAAGTGCCCCCTGGTGGTGCAGCAGATTAAACCACTGAGTTGCTGAACTTGCTGACCGAAAAGTTGGCAGTTTGAATCTGGAGAGCGGGGTGAGTGTCTGCTGTTGGGCCCAGCTTCTGCCAAGCTAGCAGAAAACAAGCTAGCTTCGAAAACATGCAAGTCTGAGTAGATCAATAGGTACTGCTCCAGTTGGAAGGTAAGGCGTTCCATGCAGTCATGCTGGCCACATAACTTGGAGATGTCTACAGACAACACCGGCTTTTCAGCTTAGACATGGAGATGAGCACCACCCCACAGAGTTGGACATGACTAGACTTAATGTCAGAGGACCTTTACCTAAAAAAAAAGGTTGGAAGAAATAGAGGAAAATACAGAAAGGTGGAGAATACCATCAGAAGGGACCCTGTGCAAAATCCCATTAATGCGGCTCAGCGCTTCATTTGGGAGCAACATTGCGTGGAGCTTCTCCCTTTGCCATCAGCCCCAGACAACAAAAATCAAAGATCCCACCAGACTCCCAAGCTGACACTACATCCTGGTTAATGTACGAAGATGAGTTTGGACAGATCCAGTATTTATTTATTTGCAGCATTTATATGCCACCCTTCTCACCCCAAAGGGCACTCAGAGCGGCTTACAAGATATATACGTACAATATATTATATTATTGGCATAGCACAATATCAGTATTATATATTACCCTATTGTAATATACCATTATCTTGTAATATTATTAGTAATATTACATGTAATATAAAATATATAATTATAATATTGTATTATTATTATTATTATTATTATTATTTGCAATTATACTGTACAATAAAGCAGCCTGAACGACTGCACCCCTTTAATTGCCATGGCCCAATGCTATGAGATCTTGGGAGCTGTAGTTTTGGCATAGAAAGCGATTTTCCTGCTTCTTAGCAGGGAGTTGGACAGAATGGCCCACGAGGTCTCCTCCAACTCTATGATACTATGATTAAAGCTCTGGATATTACAAAAATACAAGCCCAAAGCGTTGAGCTACAGTGCTGTCAAACTGCATTCTTTCTAGAGCAGGCATGGGCAAACTTGGGCCCTCCAGGTATTTTGGACTTCAATGGCCACCATTCCTAACAGCCTACTCGTCAGTGGTTTGCTCTTCTCCACACTCGCATGTCGTGGATTCCACTTTGTAGCCCCATTTCTTAAGGTTGCATCTTGTGGTACCAGAGTGCAGTCTGTTCAGCGCCTTCCAAGTCGCCCGGTCTTCTGTGTGCCCAGGAGTGAGTCTCTCATTTGGTATCAGCCATTGGTTGAGGTTCTGGGTTTGAGCCTGCCACTTTTGGACTCTCGCTTGCTGAGGTGTTCCAACGAGTGTCTCTCTAGATCTTAGGAAACTATTTTTAGATTTAAGTCGTTGACGTGCTGGCTGATACCCAAACAAGAACCGAGCTGGAGATGTCACTGACTTGGTCCTTTCACTATTGGCTGCTCCTTCCCGGCGGATGTCAGGTGGTGCAATACCAGCTAAACAGTATAATTTCTCCAGCGGTGTAGGGCATAGACATCCTGATAATGTGGCATGTCTCATTAAGAGCCACATCCACTGTTTTAGTGTGGTGAGATGTGTTCCACACTGGGCATGCATACTCAGCTGCAGATAGCACAGCGCAAGGGCAGATGTCTTCACTGTGTCTGGTTGTGATCCCCAGGTTGTGCAGTCAGCTTTCGTATGATATTGTTTCTAGCGCCCACTTTTTGCTTGATGTTCAGGCAGTGCTTCTTGTAGGTCAGAGCACGGTCCAGAGTGACTCCCAGGTATTTGGGTGCGCTGCAATGCTCCAGTGGGATTCCTTCCCAGGTGATCTCCAGAGCTCGGGATGCTTGTCTGTTCTTGAGATGAAAGGCACATGTCTGTGTTTTAGATGGGTTAGGGATCAGCTGGTTTTCCCTATAGTAGGCAGTAAAAGCTCCTAGAGCTTGGGATAGCTTCTGTTCTACCATCTCAAAGCTCCCTGCTTGAGCAGTAATGATACTAGATGCAATTCTGGCGCTTTCAAGAAGAGGGAGGGGCTTCTTCCGCTCTGGTCCCACCTCGAGCCCCGCCTCCCTCTCAGGACCCCGCCCCTTCAAGCCCCGCCCCTCCCCTTCCTCGGGCCCCGCCCCTTTCTCCCTCCTTCCTCAGGCCCCGCCCCTCGGCCAGGTGGAGACGAGGAAGAGGGACCAAGCGAGGCTCTTCCTGCCCGGGAGGCGGAGGCGAGCGCCGCGTGCTCTCCTTCGGGTGGCTCCCTTCCTGGACCCGGCTCCCTCTGTGGCTGCCGGTCGGCGCTCCCTCCCCGCCCACGCCTTCCTCTCTCCGCCGCCTGAACTCCCAGGGATCCCGCTCCGTAAGTCACGGAATGGTTTCAGTTTGCGCCCGTTTCGCGCCCTCGAAGTTTCCCTGGCCGCTGCTGCCGGGTTTCTGTTTTCCGCTCTCGCGCTCTTTCTGTCCCTTTCCCCTCGTTGGCCTTCTCCCTCTCTCTGTGTCTCTAGGAGCAGCCACCCTCCAGAAGGAAGGCAGTTTGAGCCCCTGGCTTGAGGCTATGCAATCCTGGGAATTATAGTTTGGGGAGGCACCAGCCCGCTTTGGCAGAGAAGGCCAAAGACCTTGTTGAATGATGATAATAATAAGAATCATCTTTATTTCTACCCCGCCACCATCTCCCCAAAGGGGACTCGGGGCGCCTAACATGAAGGCCAAGCCCAAAAATAATACCACAAAGTTGGGCACAACACAATAGAAAAATTACATCACAACTAAAGACATAAAATAATAAAATAAACAGTACGAAATAACATAATAACATCAAACACCAAATGTGGGCCAAATGTGTTAAACGTTAAAACCCCTGGGTGAGATAGCAATAGAAAAAGTGTATTTATGAGGAAAGAGCCCAAGAAGGAGGAGCCGTGGGGTTTGGCCTTCCCATGTGTTTGCAATTGTATATCCTCTTGTTCCAGTGTCAGTCGTTTTGGGTCTCTTTTTAGAGAGATAAAGCAGGATAGAAATAATGATAATGATAATAATTCCATGGCGTTTAGGTATAGACAGCTAAAGTAGTGTCAAACTGCATCCATTCTCCAGTGTAGATGCCCCCCCTCAAACCTAAGCATCCTGTAGGCATTTATTTTTAAAAACTTGTTTGCACACTTCCTTTTCTCTCCCTTCTCTCCCTTTTCCCGCCCGCCTGAGGTCTCTCCTTTCTCTGTACACTCTGTTGCAAGGCTGCTCATTTTTTTCTCTACTTCCTTGACTTTTCGCACTTTGCGTGGTTACACTTGTGGCTGAAAACTTCCCCTCTTTCAGCCTGGTTTGAAAGCTGGCCTGTGTGACTCCGTCATGGAAGCCCAGTAGATAGCCTTGGGCAAGTCACACCCTCTCAGCCTCAGAGGGGGCAAAGAAAACCCCACCATAGGGTCCCCATGAGAGTGAGAGGACCTAAAGGCACACATTCAAGTTCTGCGCTCTGCTAGGTCACATCCGTTCTTTTCTTCTGGTTTCAACTCATTGACAGTTCCATGATTTTTTTTGTGTGTGTGTGTCAGGAGCAACTTGAGAAAGTGCAAGTCACTTCTGGTATGAGAGAATCGGCCATCTGGCCAGGGGACGCCCGGATGTTTGATGATTTCCCATCTTTGTGGGAAGCTTCTCTTCATGTCCCCACATGAGGAGCTGGAGCTGATAGAAGGAGCTCATCTGCGCTCTCCCCAGATTCGAACCTCTGACCTGTCTTCAGTCTTGCCTGTACAAGGGTTTAACCCAGTCCTCCTCAAACTGCATCCCTCCAGCTGTCTGGGCCTTCAACTCCCAGAATGCTTGACAATTGAACAAGCTCTAGGTCTTCTGGGAGTTGGAGGCCCAAACAGCTGGAGGGCTGCATTTTGAGGAGGACTGGTTTAACCCATTGCACCACTGGGGGGCTTCTTTCATGGATGATGATGGTTGTTATTGCTATAGAGGCATCACTTCTCAAATCAAGCAACCAAAACAGTGGGTCCTGCCAAAAGCATGCAATCTACACTATATGTACAATCGACTCTCAGTTAACTAGCACCCATGGGGATTGGTAGATGCCACGTAAATGTAGTTTCTGGTTGCTTAAGAGTTACTAGTAAAAATAGACCCACTATTATACCCCATACTTTACCATAAACTCCAGGAGCCCCTGGTGGCGCAGTGGGTTAAACCCCTGTGCCGGCAGGACTGAAGGCAGACAGGTCGCAGGTTCAAATCCAGGGAGAAATCAACCCTCAAATCATCCGGGCGTCCCCTGGGCAACGTCCTTGCAGACGGCCAATTCTCTCACACCAGAAGCAACTTGCAGTTTCTCAAGTCGCTCCTGACATGACAAAAAAACAACAACAACAGAAAACCATAAACTCTGTATTGATTTTATATTAATAGTGAAATACAGTAATTGAAGGGGGACCCTGGTGACAAAGCATGTCAAACAACTGAGCTGCTGAAACTGCTGACTAAAAGGCAAGCAGTTTGAATCCAGGGAGTGGGGTGAGCTCCCACTGTTATCCCCAGCTTCTGCCAACCTAGCAGTTCGAAAACATGCAAATGTGAGTAGATAAATAGGTACCACTTCTGCAGGAAGGTAACTGAGCTCCATGCAGTCATGCCAGCCACATGACCTTGGAGGTGTCTACTCTTTGGCTTAGAAATTAAGATGAGCACTACCACCACCACCACCCCCCTAGCTGGACACGACTAGACTTAATGTCAGGAGAAACCTTTACCTTAGCTTAAAAGGTACTAGTAAAAATAGGTCCAATATTCTACCCCATATCAGGCATGGACAAACTTGGGCCCTCCAGGTGTTTTGGACTTCAACTCCCGCAATCCCTAACAGCCTACCAAACAGCTAAAGACCAAAACACAAGAAAGTGCCTCATGCACCACTCCCCATTCCTGGAAGGGAAAAAAATTGTGGAAAAAAATATCATCTTTTTATGCCCTCCCAATCTCTCGCTGAGATGGCTGTCTTATTTTGTATAATGATAAGACTTTTGTCTTATCTGTGGATGTGAGAGCTGGACCATAGAGAAGGCTGAGCGAAGGAAGATAGATGCTTTTGAACTGTGGTGCTGGAGGAAAGTTCTGAGAGTGCCTTGGACCGTGAGAAGATCCAGCCAGTCCATACTTCAGGAAATAAAGCCCGACTGCTCATTGGAGGGAAGGATAGTAGAGGTCAAGATGAAGTATTTTGGCCACATCATGAGAAGACAGGAAAGCTTGGAGAAGACAATTATGCTGGGAAAAATGGAAGGAAAAAAGAACAGGGGCCAACCAAGGGCAAGATGGATGGATGGTATCCTTGAAGTTACTAGATTGACCTTGAAGGAGCTGGGGGTGGTGACAGCCAACAGGGAGCTCTGGCATGGGCTGGTCCATGAGGTCATGAAGAGTTGGAAGCGACTGAACGAATGAACAACAAGACTTTTGTGGGTGGGGATCTAAATAAATGTATACCATTTTACTTGAGGGCCACATTAACCTCATGGTTGCCTTCAAAGGGCCAATGAATCCATTGACTGAGAATTTGTGGCTACAGAGGGCCAACTATAATTTTGGGTTGCTGTGAGTTTTCCGGGCTGTATAGCCATGTTCCAGAAGCATTCTTTCCTGATGTTTCACCCACATCTATAGCAGGCATCCTCTGAGGTTGTGAGGTCTGGTGAAAACTAGACCTCACAACCTCTGAGGATGCCTGCCTTAGATGTGGGTGAAATATCAGGCAAGAATGCTTCTGAAACATGGCCATACAGCCCAGAAAACTCACAGCAACCCAGTGATTCTGACCATGAAAGCCTTCGACAACACAACTATAATTTTTTTATATGGTGGCTCTTTAGTTTTTACCCAGTTTGGGTCTCCAGATGTTATTGAATAACAGCTCCCATCACTTTTGATTATCCACCATGTGGACTGGGGATAATGGGCATTGCAATCCAATAGCACTGGTGGCTCTGAGATTAGGGAAAAGTTAAAGGATATTTTAAAGTCAGACACAAGCCTTATATATAAACTCAAACTCACTATTTTGACAACAGAAGAAACAGCGCCCTTCCAGATGTTACTGTATCACAAATCCCATCAGCCCCAATCATGATGTCTAATTATGAGGAATACAGGAGTTGTGAGCTAATATCTGGAGGGCCACATAAAATGACATTGGCTGATCTTTAAGTTGCCTCAGAACTCTTTGTTTGTTGTGATAACAGATGGTTAGGACTTTCCTTTTGGAAATTTAACTGTCAAGAAGGGCACCTGCTTAACAAAAGTGTGCAGCAGCAGAATCACAGCCAACATAGGGAAGGGAAATGAAGTATATCTTATGGCTGCCTCATAAGTAAACTAACCATACTGATTTTCGTGCTGCTGTCACATAAATTCTAGTGTTTATACATTGGATTGAGGATGCCGTGTTAATCTCCTTGCCTCCAAAAGGCAGAAGAAAAAAAATGCGAAAGAGGAAACCTAAAACTGAAGAGGGAATGGCTGGTAGGAGGAAGTGTTCAGGTGTGTGTCTGTGTGCCGCCCAAATTGCCTGTCATGAATTTCATAGGGTTTTCTTTGGCAAGGAATACTCAGGGATGGTTTCCCATTTCTTCCTCTGAACAATAGCCTACAAATTTCCCATCTAAATACTAACCAGGGCTGACAATATGGATCTCCTTGGCTGCAGGAGAAGCGTGCTTGGTAGCCACGTAAGGGCTACCTTACGTTACCAGATTTGAATCCTTGGCTATTTTTGGATTTCCCAAAAATTTCCCAAAGCCCTGGTAAGAAAAGCCAGGTCAGGTACTTTGGGAATTTCAGCCCAACAACCTCTGGGGACTAAAGTTTGGAAACCACAGATTTATGGAAAGCAAGTTTAGTTCAAGAAAGCCAAAGCATTTCTGTTTCACAGAAGAAGAGAGTGAAAAGTAACCAGTAAAATTATAGAATTGCTTAAGTAAGGGGTGAATGGATTGCTAGAATGACTGGATTTTTAACAAAATGAGAAAATGTTAACATCAACAAATATAGTTTTACACAGAGTCCAGGCTGGAAATGAAAATGTGAAAGTTTATCCTCAACTAACGCCTACTCCATCTGAATGTTTTGTTGTTGGAGAAAACAATTGCTTGTGGGCTAACAAACAAATAGACTGACTGGAGGAGTTTGGGTACCAGTTAGTTCAAAGGCCTCTCAGGCTGGGAAGTAGGGAATAACCAAATTCCGTACTTTGTCAGGGGTTCAGATTACAGCAAGTTAGACACTTCTATGGAGCTCCTTGTATGTGTGTTTAGACACGCCAAATGTGACCTCAGCTGTTGTTGGACAGCAACTCACCTC